TAAAGTATGGTATACATACACATGTATCAAATTTTTGAATATAAATGTTTTAAAAATTGTGATAATCTGAGTAGTGTAGTAATCCCATCAAATGTCACATCATTTGGAGAATATTGTTTTTATGGATGTGATAGTTTAAGCGGCATTGATATGCCCTCAATACAAAAAATTGGCAAAGAATGTTTCGAAAATTGTTCAAGTCTCAAAAATATCATTTTACCATATAGTGTTCTTTCAATTGGTTTTGGTTGTTTCCAAAATTGTTGTAATTTAAAAAGTGTAGAAATAGCAGCAAGTGTCACATCAATTGATGATTATTGTTTTATTGGATGTATCAATTTAACAAGCATTACAATACCCACTAGTGTGAAAACAATAAGTGATTGTTGTTTCTGTAGATGTAGCAGTCTTAAAAGTTTATCAATACCATCCAGTGTCATTTCAATTAATAATGATTGTTTCCTTCAATGTGTCAGTTTAAGTAATATTAATATACCAACAAGTGTCACAGCAATCGGTAACCGATGTTTTTACAACTGTCTCAGTCTCAGTAATATAAAAATACCGTCAAGTGTGATTACTATTGGTGAATTTTGTTTTTATGAATGTTGTTGTTTAAACAGTGTTGATTTATCAACAAGTGTTACATCTATTGGTTACGCATGTTTCAAAGGTTGTAGCAGTTTGAGCAACGTAGTTACTCCATCAAGTGTAAAAAACACATCAAAATTATTCTAACACCTTGGTTTTGCATAATAAATAATTATTATGTACAACATAGATAATAAAATATTTTGTTAACTGGTTCTTTTAATACTAATAACCTCCAACAATAAAATTATTACAAATAAATATACAGTAAAAATATTATCAGTGTGTGATTTTGACAAATCAAAAGTAACCTACACTCAGATAGAATAATACATTTATCCACACATTTGGCACCTAAACCCGCAACAATACTGTCGATTTCAAATTTGTATTTTAGATGAGTAAAGAAAAGCATAAATGCTCCTCTCAAAATATTAAGGGTTTCTTGAGGATAAGGTGTATCCTCAGGATTAAAGCTATCCTTATTAAAAAATATTTTTCTGAGGATACAAAAATCAAATCCATAAGGTTCAGTTCCCCATAAGGCCCACTTTCATAACTCAAGTTATAATTTACACTTAATATTTCGAGTCAAAGTTCAAATTTTAAATGATGATAATAATTTGTCAGAAATGCCAAAAAATTAAAAACAATCAAAAATCGCCACAATAATCAGTAAACAAAAACAATAATTATATCTCGCGAACTTGAGACGGGAAATAACAAAACATGAATTAAACTTGTTCATATTATGATTATTTACTTATTGAAATTATTTCCGAATCCGTCTTTATAACACAATAATTAAAATTTACGTTTAAATTGATAATTGTTTTTTTATCAAAATGAAAATTGAAAAAGTCGAAAACACTGATTTACTAAAAATGTAATTTTAATATAACAAATTTATAAATAATTTTGTAATTTATGCAATTATTCAAATTTATTATAATAACAAAGTTAATCATGTTGTGTATATTTTAAAAAGAATGTTTCATTTTGATATTAACTTGTGTTTTAAACAGATTTACAGTTCTGAGGATGGCAATTATTTTCTGAGGATGACAGAAATAGAAAGTTAGCACTTTTACATCTATCTGAAATGTATATTGAGTAAGTTACTATTTTTGAATATGGGAACACGTCATTTCACTTTTTAGATGTTTAAGTCCGTGTTGATAATGTCTGTTTGTTACACGACTTACCATCCTCAGAGATATTTATAGCACTGCCACTATTGATTTAAAATTCTATAAATAAAATTATGAAAGAATTTTTATAAAGTGAGTTTTGATAATTGATTATATCAAAAATCGTCAAAACACAACAAAAACGCCAATTAATATATAAAATTGATTAACAAATTAAACACATTTCTATTGAGAATTAATATTGTATAAAAAAAAATAATATAAACATATATTTCTTGTGTGTATATGTTTTGAAATATAAATAAAACCGTTTATAACAAAAATGATAATATTTTAAAATTTGTTTATTTATCAATCGTTGTTTCATCGATATCCAAAACCTTTTTTTGAATTTGCGCAAATACATAAATTGTCATCGCATAGAATATACGTTATTAATACGTTATTTGCTATCAATTTTTATTGTTTGAAATATCATGAATTGATTTAAACTGTTAACAAAAAGTTGGTACTACCAATAATTTGCTTAAACCCAATTTCCTTATTTTTTTGTTATTGTTTGGCCTTCAAAAACGTTGAATTAGTGTCCACGGTACCACATTATTTTTTTAATATTTTTTATACTTATTAAAGAAAATTTTATGTATAACAGAAGAAAAAATCGCAAAATCGTCCTAAGATTTTTTAAATCAAACCACGGCTTTTTGTTCGAACTTTTTGTAACCAACAAATATTTTAAAAAGGATGTGTGGTTTTTAGACCAACACAAATTTAAATGAAAAAATAGAGTAGCTTCTAATAAGATAAAAACAAAAAATACAAAATAAGGACTAAAAACGAAATGCTTTAAGAAATCAACTTGATTGATTATAACAAATGACCAATAAACTGACCTTTGTTTTCAATACAAAGCTTAAACCTTTTTTCTATTGAATCAATTAAATTGTCTATAATATTTTGATCTATTTCTTCCCAGACTATTTTTAATCCATTCTCCAATTCTTTAATCGACTTAAACGAGTTTGTTTTTTCTCTTAATCGTTTTTCTATCAACCCCCATAAATGTTCAATTGGGTTTAGGTCTGGTGAATATGGAGGCCAGTCCATTACATAATTGATGTCATGATCTTCAAACCATTTCTTGGTACTTTTTGCGGTGTGACAAGGTGCACCATCCTGCATAAAATAAAAACGTTCACCATAACTTTTTTTAGCCTTTACAAATACCTTACTGTTTTCAAGCATTTTGATATAGTTTTCTTTGTTCATTCAATCAGAACAAAACATCAACTTGCTTTTAAAACCTTTCCCGATTCCTGCCCAAACCATTGTCGAAACGTTGTATTTTTCTTTAACGCAGAATGCTTCTTTATAATAGTCACCACGTTTTCTCCACAAACATTTGCCATCAGGCAACAAGCAAAAACGACTCTCATCAGAAAAAATTGTCGGTAATTTCCATTTTTGAATATTGTCAACTTTAACTCTTTTTTGACATTGTTTTTTACAAAATTTGTACCTTTTTTCTATATTTATTTGTTTCATTGCCGGCTTCGTATTTGTTTTGTATAAACAAATCCCTCTTCATGTCTGATATTGTTAATTGTTGTTTGACTCACACCAAGTACGGTACCAATGTTTTTTGATGAAGAAAATTTTTTCATGTTTGTTTGTGAAGCAACCAATTTTGAAAAATTCTTATCAAACACTTTTGGTCTGCCCAACAGTTTTAGATCAATAGTTAA